ACACCCTGCCTCCTTGGCTCTGGGATCCCAAGTCCCACCACACACCCTGCCTCCTTGGCTCTGAGATCCTGACCCCACCCCACACCCTGCCTCCTTGGGTCTGAGAGCTCTCCTCTAAACAGTAGTAAGAATGATAGCCAGCTTTTGTACCACCATGAGATTGAAAAGTTTTACTTGAAGCTGTTGTACATCAGGAACTGTCCACGTGGCACGGAGACTTGGGAAATAGTATTGACATGATAGTATCTTATTGGGACTATCTCCTATCACTAAATGCTAGATTGAGAAAAAGTTAGGGGAGCCATAGTTGGCTTTATTTAGTTCTCCAATTCTGATTTTATGCAATCTTCTTATGTTATGGGTAGTCTATAGGAATGCTTAATTGTGTAAGTACTTTAAAAACTGCTTTACTGTTGATATTCTTATTTGGAGTCAAGATCTCAGTCCATAGCCAGGCTGGCTTTGAACTTAGCATTCTCCTGAGTGCTAGGATTAAAGGCATGTATATGTCCCACGCCTGGCTGACAAGTGCTGTTTGGTTAAAAGCTTTTCTGAGTGTAAGTTGCTGGTTGGTGATGGTCTTTTACCAGGAATTGTAAAGGTTCGAGATACATGTTGATCTTTTTAAACTTTTAAGTCCAAACTGCATTTGTGTTTCTGATATGCTTGTATTATACATGAAGCTAAACAGGGAGGAGGAAAAGGTAGAAGAGTTAGAGGATGTATTTTTAAAACTAAGACCAGTGGTTAGCATTGAATTCATGCTATAGAAAAACTCGAAGTCGAGATCATCCTGCCTCAGTCTCCCTATTGCTAGGATTACAGGCCTGAACAGTCCCAGTTTGCAGGCCATAGTTGTTTTATTTATTTGTTTATTTATTTATTTATTTATTTATTTATTTATTTATTGTGTGTGTGTGTGTGTATGGTGCTAGGGATTGAAACCAGGGCCTAGTTCCTATGAGGCACTGTATTTCTAAGTGTCTTCCCCAGTACCCTATAAGTCATAGTTTAAAAAAGATTTATTGCTATTTTGTGTGCACATGTGCCTGTATGTTTCTGTATGTGTATATGTGTACATGCCTTAATGTATGTATGGTGCAGCATGTGGGTGCCTAAAGAGTCTAGAAGAGAGTATTAAATCTTCAGGTAGTGGGTAATACGTGGGTCCTGGGACTTGACCCTGGGAAATGAGCCTGGGCCTCTGGAAGGTGTAACAAATGCTGTTACCCACTGAACCTTCTCTCTAGCCTTGTAGGCCACCACCCAACTCCTCCTTCTCTTCTTCTTCTTCTTCCTCCTCCCCTCTTCTTCCCCCTCTCTCTCCAGATTTACTTTTGTTCTGTGTGTATGGCTGTTTTGCCTGTAGATTATGTTTGTGTACCCAATGTTTGTTGTGCCCTCGGAGGTCAGAAGAAGGTGTTGAATCCTCTGGAACTGAAGTTAACAGACATGCTGTTAGCCATGTAGGCTCTGGGAACTGAACCCAGGTTCTATGGATGAGCAGCCAGTGCTCTTAACTCCTGAGTTATCTCTCCAGCCACCTTACATATTCTAATGAATGTGTCTTGCAGTTATTGCATTTGAAAATAAAGAATTACAACAGAAGGAAATACATTTTTTAAAAATTAGTCTGCAAGGTGAATTAGTCTTCAATAATATACTGGCTGAAAATTATGTAAGTATTCCAGGATTTTGTTCAGTAAAATCGCATTTCTGTCTGCTAATGGAGGCATGGTGAATGATGGGGACCACCAACAGATACACTAGCTGTTGGTTCTGGTCTTTTCCTTAGCCTTCCACCTATAGTATTGTGGGTGTTCTTCCCATAATAAGAAAGCAAAGGCCAAGTGTGGTCATTTAGTACCTGACATGGGAGGGCAGTTACAAAATACCATGAGGATGATTTGCTACTCATACTTGAATTTCAAAAAATGCATAGTAAAGCCATATATTTAAATTCTTCATGTGTATGTGGGAAGGCATGCATGCATGATCTGGGTATGGAGGTCAGAGAGCAATTAGAGTTGGTTCTCTCCACCTGTGGATGGGTTCTGGCAGGCCCAACTCAGGTTGCCAGACTTTCATGGCAAGAGCCTTTACCCAGGAAGCCATCTTGCTGGTCTCTAGAGTCAAGTATTTTTAACTAGATTTCCAATATTAAGTGTAATGATGGAGTGGAAGAGTTTATGGAGGAAAAAAGGGTGAGGGCTCATGCCAATTAGAAACACAGAGCAGGAGGAAAAAGGGATGAGTGGTAAAGTACCTATGTGTGTGGACATGAGCACGAGTGTGTATGTGTGTGTTTTTCTGTGTATATGTGTGTGTGCATGTGTGATCAAAATATATATGAAAATATTACAACGAAACCTGTTATGTATAATTGATATTTCCTAAGAAAACAAAATTAAACAAAATGTATTAAAATGCCCCATATAACTGAAAATAGACATGAGAAGATTCAATAAACAAGTCAACAAATAACCTTTGTTAGTTTGTTGTCTAGAGGTGAAAAAATATAGCTTTTAAAATTAAACTTTATCAATGAAAGATGGAAGAATATTGATGTATTTGTTATCTATATCTGAGTTGAACACTATACTTTGGGAAAGAATTAAAGCATTAGAAGCTTACTGTTTAGCGTAAAAACAAGACTATCAAAAAAACAAAACAAACAAAAAAAGCCAGGCTTGGTGACCCATGTACACTTAGCACTCAGGAGTCAGAGGCAGGTGGAATTCTATGAAGTCAAGGCTAGCCTGGTCTACAAAGAGTCCAGGATAGCCAGGACTATTACACAGAGAAACCCTGTCTTGAAAAAAAAAGACCAGCCAATCAACTAACCAACCAAAGAACAACAGCAACAAAACCTAAGCCACACCAAAACAAAAAGCACCCAAGACTCTGTTAAAGGAGCAAGTAATAACCTCTCCTTATGCAGATTACTATGTATTGAATTCATTTAGCTGAGTTGGTTTGGTTTTTGAATTGGAGTTTAACAAATATAAATTCAGTAATACTTGCTTCTGTTTCTGGTCTGTTACAGGAGAAATAGATGCCAATAACTGTAAACATATATCAAGAGAAGAGGAAGAGGCAGGGGAACTGGAAACCAGCCCTGTAGGTTCTCTGGCAGACATGCCGTTTGCTGCTGTAGACATCCAAGATGACGGTGGAGGTAAGTTCTGTATTCAAACACAAATGTTTAGATGCCCAGACACTACATTTAGTTATATACATTTCATCTTTAAGTTATTTCATTTTACACAAGTGTCATGCTTTTGAGTGCTAACAGTTAGTTATCTGGTACTTTGTTGTCCGAACTGCCACAGATAATATTAAGGCATGGCTCACAAAATTTTGGACCGGATAATTCTGTGGTTACTTCTGAAAGTCACGGACCTGGCAGATCATTTTGTGGTTTACAACAATCCACTTTAATTCTCTAGAACCACCTGTGATTTCAGGGCCTACACCTTCATGTAATAAACGGTTAGTGGCGTTTGGGTGTATATAGGCCCTTAGCTGTGCATTGATCAGGTTCATCTATCTGTTGATGAACCAGAGACGCAGAATCAGTTCAGTTCAGTCAGTCCCTTAGAGCTCCGTCTACAAACTTTATGAAACCAATACTTGATTGAAACATCAGACTAGAAATTTCATGTCATTGTGAAAACAGAACTACCATAATGACAGGAACTCTGTCCTCTAGCAAGGTGACACATTTCTGTTACTCAGGAGCAGGAGATGAAACCTGTCCACTGTCCAGCTGTCGGCATTTCTGATCTGTCCATGTCTTACTCATATTTAGTATATCTGAACAGCTTACAGTAGGTGTGAGTAATGAGCTACTTCCGGAATCCCAGAAAGCAAACAGTGTTCTGTATCCTCAGTAGTCTGACTGTTGATGGAGAAGGTCCTTGACCACTGTATACCAAGAAGAAGGACTGAGGTGCATTTGTGGCCTCTGTTCTCTTCATGCTTTCAAAAGGATGTCTGCTTCTGCTCAGGATGGGCCTCAGGAAGGATGGCCCTTTATGTAAGCAGTATCTCCATCCCCAACCTCGCCTCTCTCACTGTCTCGTTACCAGAGCAACACTGTCTGTCCATGTAAAATGGGGTGTAGGCCAGTCTACAGAAATCTGTTCGTGACTATGGAGTATTACACCACTCTTTGATATTATAAGTCTTAGGAGGTTCAAAGACCATTTAAGTGTTAGCCTACATTTCAAACCACAGAATGGGAGCTTTCTTCTGTGGGAAGATAGCTTTCAGATTCTAAGCTCCAGTTTAATGCATGGACCCTGTGGAATAAGGGGAGAAACAGAACCATGGTTTCAGTTTCGATTACTGAATCTTCTTCTTGTGTGACTTTGGTCATTGAAAGTGTGTAAGTGGGACTTTAACTGTAAAAAGAATGCAGATTTTAATTTCTTCTTACTTTCCTCATTATTATTATTATTATTATTTTTTTTTGTTTTTTTTTGTTTTGTTTTTCGAGACAAGGTTTCTCTGTGTAGCCCTGGCTGTCCTGGAACTCACTCTGTAGACCAGGCTGGCCTCAAACTCAGAAATCCGCCTGCCTCTGCCTCCCAAGTGCTGGGACTAAAGGTGTGCGCCACCACCACCCAGCTACTTTCCTCATTATGATACTCTACAGGTCAAAGGTCAAATGTGTATAAGACAGGGGTTAAAATATAGCAATGTATAATTGTTATTTTATAAAACCTCTCTTTATGTGTGTGTGTGTGTGTGTGTGTACAGTTGTATGTGTTGGTGCATGTGTACATGAGGAGAATGAACGATGACCTTGAGTGTCTCCTTTAATCCCTTTCTGTCTTGTTTGTTTTTGAGACAGTCTCTCCTAGATCCTGCAGCAAACTGTTTGAGGAGGACATCTTGAAAGTCTTGACAGAGAAAACACTCTTCCTGACATTTTAGATGATGTCTCTTGTAGTGACAGTTTTGGCATTTTGGTTTCTTTAAAAAACAGAAATATTGTAAGAATATGTTTTCATTTTAATCCCAGGTGTAGAATGTGGGGCTGCTTCAGATTGTCCACAATGGCTGACCATAATTTGCCTCATGCTCTAGCAAGGGTGTGATTCTGCCAATGGCAGATAGTTTGTGCAATTATGTGATAGTTGGAATTGTAGGGACTTTTTAGAGGGTACATAAATGCTAGGGCCCCAAGGGATAGGGTGGGTTGTGGTTGTTGGATGGTTGCTATTGGTTATTGTTGGCTATTCGTTAAGTAGTCACATGCAAGAAGAAACAAGAAGAAATTAGATATCCTGACAGCAAAGATTAAACTTGCCCCAAGAAACTCAATGCTGATGCCCCTCCCCCCATCCTTTATTCTCTCCTATGTAGTGTTAGAGGCTTGAAGGGGTAGAAGAGAAGGAGTGAAGAAGGGTAGAAGAAAGAAGAACCCACAAAGTAGCCAAAGACAGCTACAGTCTCTTATTGTACAGACTCATCTATACTGGATCTGCCTGGCAGAAATGGGGTTTTGCATTTTTAGGGGTACTTTAGGTAAGAGGATATTTCGCTAGAAATATATAGGAATATTAAATGTTCTCAAATAGTATAGTCAAATATAACAATGTTAGATACATTTAGGGTCATTCACCAGAACACAGAGATAGATAGATAAATAAACCATCAATGTATACATGAAACAGAACCTGGACATGGTGAGGAGATAAAGCAGCCCAGATCACAACTGTGTCTGTTGGTTAGGCGTGTTCCAGCAGACAAACATAACTTGAGAGAGGACATACCAGGACTCGGGTGTGTTTCTTCTCTCTATAAGAGAAGTGCACTATGGCTTAATTGATTAGAAATACAGGAAGCTTCCCAGAAAATGTTTTGTGGTTTTGCTGTTTGTCTCTGACAGTGGAGTGGGTGTTAGCATGGGAGAGTCATTTTGCTGATGGGATTAGCCCAGTCTGCTTCCCACAGAAGACGGGCAGAGCTTTAGTTTCACTGATTGTTGTTATGTGAGATTGTCAATTCCTAACAACCAAGCAACATTTTAAAAATTACATTATTTATTTGTGTGAATGTATATGTATGTTTGTAGATATGTATATGTGTGAGTGTGTGCATGCCAGAACACATGTATGGAGGTCAGAGGACAGCTTGAGGGAATTAGTTCTTTCTCTCCACTATTTAGGTCCTGGGAATTGAACCCACATCATCAGGCTTGGTGGCAAGCACCCTTACCTCCTGAGCCATCTTGACAGCCCTCAAACTACACTTAAATCAAGATAAAGAAAACATTTGAGAGTTGGTTTTTAGTTACATGAGTTTCCTAAATGTGAAACTCACTTCTATAGAAATTACTAATTTTTATTTTATGTTCTCAAAATTTGTTGTGTTTATATGTATGTATGTTTTAAGACAAGGTCTCACGGGGCTCAGAGTGGTCTCGTAACTATTATTCCGCTAGGACTGCCCTTGAACTTCTCCTCTTGCCCCTATAAGCACTGGCAATGTAAACTTGCACCATCATGCTGGGTGGGCTTCCTCACACAGAGTTCTAATATAATTATTAGAGATTTTCGAGGTAGAAGAAATTATCATTTCATTACCTATTAACTAGTTAAGTTATATTTATACATTTTAAAAAAAAATCAAGCAAAATTCATCTAAAATTCTTGTATAGAAAACATTGTATTTTAGTACATACAGATATCAGTGATTATTCTTTGTCAGTTAAAAAGAGATACATTATATAGTCCTTTATATCTGTGTCCTTTATATAGTTAATTGGAAAGGTGAGTACCACATACAGAAATGTGTCTTGCATAATACATGGATAAGTTCTGAGAATTGTTTTATTGGGCTATTTTTGTTTATGTTGTGTACATCACAAGGAATGTGGCAGACTAAGAGGGCTGTGACATTTTAGTATCTTAAATTTATTTACTTTTTTAAGATAGTGACTCCATGTTTAGCCTAAGTTGGCCTTGAGCTCAGAGTAGCCCTCCTGCCTCAGCCTTCCCAAGTGCTGGAATTACAGCTGTGCATACATACTCCCAGCCTACTTGAAAGAATTTTTTTTTTTTCTGCTTAAATAACGAGAGAGGAGATACCAAAACAAACTCTAATTCATTCTCAGCATTTTAATTAAGAGCAAGTGTGAAAACAAACCACAATAACAGATGGAACACTTAATTAATTTCTTTTCTAATTTACCCCTTTGTAATTTTGGAGGAATAAATAGAATTGAGGAAAAAAATTAGATTTACTTAAGATGACTTGTGGTGCTTTTGTTAAAAAAAAAAAAAAACAAAACAGAAACAAAAACCTACAGTTGAGAGAGTACCCGCCTTTGTCAATGACATCGAGTTTATCAGCGCATAGTAAATGGCTACTGAAGTCATTATGAACATTAACAAGTATAATAAATTAGTTTTATGGGTTTACAAGCTGTACTTCCACGGATGACGTTTTGCTAACTGGTAAAATTACTATAAATAATATGATGAATGATCCAGGGCACATGGCCAAAGATTTCTGCATTTTGGGACCTCAAGTCACCAACCTTTAATATTTTTATCCATAAGCTAGATGGTTATATTAATCTTTGGTTTTTATCTTTTCATGTGTAAGCAAGTAAAAGAAATATCAGCAAATTGTCTTTCAGGACACAGATGTGATCCCAGAGCTGGAAGGAAAATGAAGCTGGGGTGAGACAGCAGAGAGATACTCTGTTCTGATAAACGGTGTAAACACCGGAAGACAGACTCTCTGCAAACGGGAGGCAGCGTGGCGGACAGTGGCCCAGTGTCATGGTTGCCAGTGTCAACAGGATGCTGGAGTAAGGGGACAGAACGGCAAACACACTACAGGGTTGGAAAGTTGTCCCATGTGCATACAAGAGAGTACTGTTTACAATAATTCTCTGATTTTTCCAGAGGTAACTGAGTTGCCATTTTAATTTTTCCTTTTGGAATCATTATGAACTGATTGATTTGATTGCATTTGATGTAATTTACACTACTAAGTTTATTATTCAGTTTGATGCTCAAATGATCTTACCATTAGCCAATGGAAAGATTATAAATTGACATGACAGCCTGTCTTACATGATTCCACTTGCTACCCTTTAGATCATGAATGTCCACAGTGGCCCATGTATTAGGTCACCAGTGATGCTGCAGGTGGTGGGACATTGTGCCAGGAGGAAGTGGGGTTAGCAGGAGGAAGTTAGGACATAGAGAATGGATGAAATAAACACAAAGGAGCCAGCCAATGATTTACTTCCCTAGTGGTAGAAAGATTATGATTTCAGATGTAGTGGCTAATATCTATAATTCTGAATTTGAGGGGCTAAGAAAAGGGGATTGGTTTATATAGTCGACCCTTCCACAAAACCAAACCAAACCAAACAAAGCAAAACAAAGCAAAAACAATGGAAAACAAAATGAAAACAAAACCCTTTGACACATGGTAGAGGTGTTAGTGGTGCCTTAAGGCATAAATCTATCTGACCTACGTTTTAAATAAAGTAGTATTGGGATTCAGCTGTATCCTTTTGTTGTTCTGTCAGAATTAGATAGCTGAAACATGGAGCCTGTGGTCTGTGAAGCCTGAACTGTTTATGATTACATGCTTTATGGAAGTGCTTGCTGACTCTTGCTTTATCTTTGAAAATGGCAGTTACACAGTATTGCTGTTTATTACAGATACTACACATCTTCTTCCATTTTAAGCTGGGTTATCATTGTTTAAATGTGCGAGACGCTTTCTCTCTCTCTCTCTGTTCTCCTCTAGTCCCTGATGCACCTCAAGGAAACCCAAAGAGAAACAAAGAAAATAGAGGTGACGGGAATGATCACGTGAAGAAGAGGAAGAAGGCCAAAAAGGATTATCAGCCCAACTATTTCCTGTCCATTCCAATCACCAACAAAAAGGTCAGGTTTCTCAAGAACCTATGTTTACTATGAGGTTTTATTCTAAACCATTTTTAAAGAATATTAAGTGTTTGTCAGCTCACTTGCTTTGTGGTTCTAGTAATACTTGATAGTATTTTAGAAGGACTGTGTGAGGAAACTTCCCATTTAAGTTATAGAAAGTTGTTTATATAATAGTTTTGAGAAATATTACTTAGACCATCATAGTTGATGATAACAGGGCCAAATGGAGCCAGGCCATTAGGAGACCAATTGGTAGACATCTGGAGTGACTTCCCTGAAGACATGTATGTTGGGACTTCGACCAGACAAGAAGCCAGGTTTTGTGTTTTGATTTGTTACTTTACTATTCCTCTAGAGGATCCTCCAGTATGTTTAGATATGAGGGTAATCAGGCTGTGATATCTTTTACCCCACTGTCTTGATGTAAAAGCCATACTCACAAGGACCATGTCAGGAGCCTCTCCAAAGCCTTGCTCAGCGTATACGAGGAGCCTTTAGAATCTGAGAGCAGTGACCTCATGGGAAAAGAGGATTGGACGTCTCTTTGAGGACAGGAAATGGCTTCTTGCTGCATAGTCCTTCACATGATGAGGGTCATTGGAACGTCATTTCTTTAAGCATTCCTCGTGGCTGTGTAGGCTGCGTATCCCTTACTCAGAATGCTTGAGACCAGGGCTCTGACACGTTTTGGATTAGTTTGGATTTGGACTGATAGGGTGTTCATATGCACATGATGAATCTTGGCAGGAGGTCCACATCTGAATAAGGAATGCATTTGCTTTTCCTGCTTGCCTTCTTCCTGTATCCTGAAGATAACTTAATACATTATATCTAGTATGCCTGGGTCTTGACCACAGTTTATCCAATGACATCAGATGTGAAAATTTTTCTTGCATTGTGTTTTAGATTTGGGGCATTTTAGGCAATTTAGGTTTAGAAATTTGGATTAGGAACACTCAACCTGTACCAACCTAAGATTTCATGTTAAACTCAGTATGAATTTATTAAAAATATGAAAAAAATCAATGTTGCATAAACAGTAGAAAATGGGACCAGCCAGTACATTTGTACTAAGAAAATTATTGAAAATTATTGTATTGAAAATTATTTTTGGGCCGGGCGGTGGTGGCGCACGCCTTTAATCCCAGCACTTGGGAGGCAGAGGCAGGTGGATTTCTGAGTTCAAGGCCAGCCTGGTCTACAGAGTGAGTTCCAGGACAGCCAGGGCTACACAGAGAAACCCTGTCTCGAAAAAAAACAAAAAAAACAAAAAAAAGAAAATTATTTTTGCTGCTACCTCATAACTGTAATTTTGCTACTGTTATGAATCATAATATAACATTTATATTCTCTTAAGAGAGAAAAATATAATAGTGTATTAACCTAAACTCTGAAGCAGCTACATGGGAATGAATGAGTAGTTCATTCACAAGACAGCCTTCCTCTGTCTTAGCCTAAGGTTAAGCAGATCTGAATCTGATTGTGAGTGACATATACTCTCTAACTATCCCAGCAGTTCCCATCCTGTATCTCATGACCCCTTAGGGGGTTAAACAGCCCTCTCACAAGGTTCTAAGACCACTGGAAAACATAAATATTTATATTATGATTCATAACAGTAGCAAAATTACAGTTATGAGGTAGCAGCAAAAATAATTTTATGGTTATGGGTAACATGAGGAACTGTATTAAAGGGTTGCAGTGGCCGGGCAGTGGTGGCACACACCTTTAATCCCAGCACTTGGGAGGCAGAGGCAGGCGGATTTCTGAGTTCGAGGCCAGCCTGGTCTACAGAGTGAGTTCCAGGACAGCCAGGGCTGTCTCGAAACCCTGTCTCGAAAAAACCAAAAAAAAAAAAAAAAAAAAAAAAAAGGTTGCAGTGTTAGGAAGATTGAGAACCACTGGACCAGGCTCTCCATTAGTGTTGCTGAGGATCCAACCCAGGGCCATATATTTGCCAGTCAACTGCTCAACCACAAAGTTAGACCCCCAGCCCTGCTAAGGATCTTCAGTCAAATACATAATACATAATACATAATACATAATGCATAATACATACATACATACATACATACATACATACAAACCAACCAACCAACCAACCAACCAACCAACCAACCAACCAACCAACCGTGTTTTGTTGGGTCATTCTAGGAAATAACCCTGTCTTTGAGTCAGGGTCTAGCTAGAGAGAAGATGCAATAATAAGAAAAAAATGACTGCAGATTTCCATTCTGCCTTCACTAGCAGTAAGGTAGTCCTTGGAAATGTTTAGGTGATTCACAGCTTAGAGTATACGCAAATGTACACCATCTGTAGATGCTAGTATGTTGTCTGGATTGGTTTTCTCTTGCTTTAGGACTATACACACATGGTCATTAGGCAGGAGCAGGATGAGAACTTCTGAGTGGGCAGCTGCACGTAAGCCAGGCCCTGAGGTAGGCAGCTGGAGTGACTTCCCTGAGGACGCGTGACTTTATGGCTAGAAGGGAGGTCAGGTTTTTGTTTGTCTGTTTGTTTTGATATGTTGCTTACACATAATTCCACTAAAGTGTCAATGTGTTTCGCTGTGAGGGTGATCAGACTGTGACATCTGTCACCCCAGATGGCTCGGCAGGTGTCCCTTCCTCTCTCACCGCTTCAACTGTGTCCCTTCCAAAGCTGTGTAGTTGGTAAAAAGAAAGATCTTCCCTAGCAGAGGAGAGCCAGTCTTTGTCAAGGGTATATGAGTAGCCTGCACATCCCTGCTTGCACCTCCAAGCAAGCATGATTGATGTGCACGTCTGTGCTTTAACTGGGTGGTTCGTTTTATTGATTGATTGTACTCGTGACTGATACTAGAGGGCCTGATAGTGTTAGGCACATGCTCTAACACTAAACCACACCCCCAGCATTCCTCTTACTTTTCCATTGAGGGAGGGCCTTACTCAATTGTCTAGGCTGGCCTTGGGCCAGTGATCTCTCTGCTTCAGCCTCCTGAGTAGCTGGGATTACAGGCCTGGGTCCAGCAGGCAATTGTGTTTAGAGTTCTCCCTTCATGCTTCTGTTTTTTGGACCCATCCTAGGGCATCTCTGTTCTCTTGCTGTCAATGCTTGACTCCTCCTCTTCCAGTGAGGGTTGTTGGGGGCATGTGGTAGGATGTAGTACATGAAACAGGGGACCACTGTAATAAGGTAGCGAAGCTCTTTCCATCCTCACTAGGATTTGGTCCACAGGGGATGTGGGAGGAAGGATGATGGAGTCCTGTACGGCTTGGATTTCACAGACCTGGTAACCTGCCACTACCTTATAAATGCTACTGGGTCAGGTGACTAGATTATTAGTTTCAGCTTCTTCAGGGCACAGTGCTAACCTTGAGTGCTCATTTTCCAGGCCCTGTGCTGAACACACCAGTCACCTGCTTGTTTCAAGCTTTCCCCATTGACATCAGGGTAGAGCTGTATTCCTGACTCAGTTCTTCAAAGACTTGGCTGTTCTGTTCTTCTCCACCTCCGTCCCTTCTGTCTGAGTCTCTCTTGCCTTCTTGACCTGGTCACCTTCCTATTCTAACCCAATCCTTTAGTTAAAGGTCTATAGATTCTGGTTGTCACATGTCACTCTTGCAGCTTGTTTCCCCCACAGTGTGTCTGCTGTCGTTCTCCATGTCTAGACTGGTGCTCTCTGGGAGTAGGTGCATGCATCTGCATACACAGACCGGGTACCCACTGTCATTTCAGAGATCCTTAGAGCATCTCCACCATACCTAGCCCTAGTCAGAACTCCCTTTTCTTTAAGCATGGTGCTGAGGATTAAACCTAGGTCCACACATTATGATAAGGAAATGTTTCAGTTCCAGCCCCCAAAGCCTTAAAAATACCAATACTTATTTCATAACGTAATAGCAATAGTAAATTTTTTTTAGATGGGGTAGGGTGATTTATGGCCGTGGGAAATGCAGCGTAATTTAACCCTGCTGTTTTGGGGGACTTAGGGAGCAGTAAGTTTTTCAAATTTACGCAGGACTATGGAAGAATACTGTGAGCATTAGATAGGAATAGGACTTTATGTATCAGATCTTTTGCTAAGCGCCTTTCTGTTTGTTTTAAAGTATCTAATTAACGTTCATGACGCTGGGTAGGAAGGCCTGGGAAAGAAGGCCCATTTGCCACATTGTTTCAATGGAAGAATATCTTCCAAGTTCCAGTTTAGTGACCTGCAAACAGGCTCTTGGAAGCCAGGACATTCACAATGAGTTGCTCTACTTTTGGCCTCAGCTTCTTGGCACCTAGTTTTAAAGAAAAAAGAAAGCATTCAGAATTATAGGCCTTTTCTATTTTAAATGTGTTTTTAGTAGTTTGGAATTCTTTATTATGGAAATATTTCATATTTTTAAGAAATTAGATTAGAAAATAAATTAGAATTGCAGCAAGTTAATATGCATAGCATAACATAGGAGTATGTGTTTTGCAGTTAACATGTAATTATATATTAATTTAAAAGAAGAAAAATTGGTGGCTTATAGTAACACTTGTTTTAATGGCTACGACTATAAATTATTTATCTGGCTGTTGCTCATCTGTGGTTTTATGTGCTTTCATTTGAGAGGTAATCTTGTTGGCTGTCTCTGTAACAAAATATCTGAGATTGACTCTTGTCTTCCTTGATTGGCTTGACTTTTGTGCCTCCTGGGAGACCCAAAATCCTCTTCATGCATGGAGCCTGTGGTGGAGAAAAACTGCTTTCCTCCTGGCAAAAGAAAGAGGTTTGAACTGGGATACAAAAATGCCTTCAAGGCTACTTCCCCAGTGATCCAGTGACAGGTCACTAGGCTCTCAAAGTGTCACTGCTCCGAAGCTCCACCCTGGGCACTAAGCCGCTAACATAGGGGCCTGGGGGACATTCAGGATCTAAACCATTGCAAACACATCAGCACTGAAAGACTCTCAAGGACTGTCAGAAGCTGCTGAAAAGAGGAAGAACTAAGTTTTAAATAAGTTCTTTTTGCATGTTAATGGACACATTTCCTTCAGGACTTTTAGAAGTGTTTGGTGCTGTGGTTCTTCATTTTGTAATAACCAAAGTTGCTACTCTTAATGCAAGGATGGAAGACTAGCGAAGTCAGCCTTACAGTAGTAAAGTATTTGAAATCTTCTTATCTTAAACATTTGGTAAAGAATACCTTGGTTTGAGGCCTAATTTTTTTATTTTTATTCCAGTACTACAAACAGTTTTCATTCATGGTTGTTAACAGGCAAGAAAAAATGAGAGTATTTAGTGTGTTCTCTCTCTCTCTCTCTCTCTCTCTCTCTCTCTCTCTCTCTCTCTCTCTCTTTCTCTCCCTCCCTCCCTCCCTCCCTCCCTCCCTCCCTCC